CCTCGAATTCGAGAAGATGTTACTCGAATGACATGCCAATGCCTGTTCTGAAGGTTTACATGTATGACCTGCCTTCAGAATTTCACTTTGATCTGTTAGGCTGGAAAAATAACGGTGACGGTGTTTGGCCCGATATTCGTGTAGAGGTTCCCGAATATCCAGGTGGGCTGAATTTGCAGCATAGCATAGAGTACTGGCTGACTTTAGATCTCTTGAGCTCGGAATTCGCTGATAATAATTTGAAAGGGCGCAGTGCAAAGCGAGTAAAGAACGCTAGTGAAGCCGATGTTATTTTTGTTCCCTTTTTTTCGTCAATAAGCTATAACCGGGGCTCGAAGTTGAAGCCTGGTCAGGAAAGGAGTAGTAATATTGTATTGCAGGAGAAATTGGTCAAATATTTGACGACCCAGGAGGAATGGAAGAAAACCGGGGGAATTAATCATGTGATTGTTGCTCATCATCCGAATAGCCTTTTGAATGCAAGGATGAAGCTGTGGCCCGCGATGTTTATTCTGGCGGATTTTGGGAGGTATCCCCCGACCATTGCAAATGTCAAGAAAGACGTTATTGCTCCTTACAGGCACATTATCAGGAATTACGTGAATGACTCGTCTGATTTTGATAGTCGTCCAACCTTGTTGTATTTTCAAGGAGCTGTATATAGAAAAGATGTAAGTCTTTTTTGTGCCTAAATGTACTTTTTTTTTTTTTTCTCTTATGCTTCTAGTTATGACATATTTCTTCATATTCTTTCCTTTGATGATGATTGCTGAATTCGACACGCACTTAGTATTTTGAAATATTGTGGAATTTAGTTGGGGACTTGCATATAACATTGTTCTATTGTCTCCTCGTCTGGGTCTATGCATTCATAGTCTTTCAGTGACCATATAGCAGTGTTCTAAGCATATTAGATGGTTTTGAAATTTGATTATCAGTATTATTATTGTTATTTTTATATGGGAATGTATGTATATATATTTTTTGTATGTGGTAGAATACGCATGACCATGAATATGCTGAGAATTGCTAGTGTCTGAAAAACCTTGGTAAAAGACGAAAGGTAAAACTATATGCAATAGAAATGCCAAGTCGAGGTCTTTTCGTGTTTGTGAGCATGGCCGAGTTAATGTGAAGTATTAGTCGTCTAAAACAAGATGCTACTACTATCCATATTTTGTTATTTATCTCATATTGGAGTAATTATCGATAAAGCTTGAGATTACTTTAGACGTATATTTGTATGGATAAAGACATTTATCTGTTGGTCTTGTTCGCAATGGCTCTATAACTTAATAATGGTTTAAAATAAGTTGTTTCATAAAATATTGCATGCTTGCCCTACATTAAACCCAATTTATTTCTACTTATTTATTAAATTTAACTTCATAATTTTGGTTCCTCAACAGGGAGGAACAATCCGGCAAGAGCTATACTACATGCTACAGAACGAGTCAGACGTGCACTTCTCTTTTGGAACCTTCCAGAACCACGGGGTCCATCAGGCCTCCAAAGGCATGCGCTCGTCCAAATTCTGCCTCAACATAGCTGGCGACACCCCCTCGTCTAACCGTCTTTTCGATGCCATTGTCAGCCACTGTGTGCCCGTCATCATAAGCGACGATATTGAACTTCCCTACGAAGACATTCTCGACTACTCCGAATTCTGCGTGTTTGTCCGGACTTCAGACGCCCTAAAGGAAAACTTCCTGCTCAACCTCACAAGGAGTGTCGATAAAGAGGAGTGGACGAGAAAGTGGGACCGACTGAAAGAGATCGAGCAGTTTTACGAGTATCAGTACCCTTCGAGAGAGAACGACGCCGTTCAGATGATCTGGCAGGCGATTTATAGGAAGGTTTTTGCAGTTAGGAGGAAAATTCACCAGGGCAGGCGTTTTTCGCGAACAAGTGTTGCAATGGAGAGGCCTATGGGGTCAGTCCCCATGCCCAAGGAGTTTGGACGGTAAATGTAGTTGATTATCGATAAGTTCGTTTGTTCCTCTCTTTGAGTTGTGCCAGTTTTGTTGTTTTTTAACATCAGGCTTTGTGTAGTTAAAATGTAATTTAGTTGGCAGAAGTTTTAAGTTTTTAACAGAACCATTTAGGCATATCCCTACTCTTATGCTTGATGCCATTTTCTATGATTGCCTCAGAGATTTTGTTGTATTTTGTTTCAGCTTTTGGATGCACTGCTGTACTAAGACATTGAAAATAAAAAGATTATGGTTATGTAGTTCTTTTGTAATTTATATGGTTTAGTTTTTTTAAGCTCATGTGTTAAATATGTTTATGGTTAAATTTTCGTTTTGAGATGGTCTATTCTTTAGTATATTTGTAGATTTTTGTACGCCTTCCTATTCTTTTATTTGTCAATTGGATTATTTGTCATTTTGACTTTATTGATCATTAATTAAATTATTTAAATAAGTGACGTTTTGGATTTTTAATAGATATTTTTTTCTTTGTTACCATCATTCAACTAATACACTATGTTTTTTTCATATTCACTCTTCATTTTTTCTCAAGATATCCATCTATATTTCCATGGCTATTTATATTTTTTAGTAATGCTATATTGTACATAGGGGTGTACATAACACTCACACTGCGTGGGACCTACCAAAATAAAAAGTGGGCCCACTCCATGTGAGTGTTATGTACATCTCTATATACATTTATTATGTAATTGTAGCATTTTCCTATATTTTTTTTTTATCTCAAATTATTTCTTTATATTCTTTTTCAATTCATCTTCTTCAATTTCCCTATGTCTTTTTCAATACAAAATTTTTCTAATCCTTTTGATTCCGGTTCTAATTGTTCTCCCCTTTATATTTTTCTCTTTCGATTCATGGATTCGAAAGGTTATGATGATTTAAGATCGGATCTAGAAATCGACTTTGCTAAATATGTTCAATCTCACCAATTTGTTGTGGATGAAGTCCTTCAACTATTGGAGAAGACAGAGGCAAGTTTAGATGTTGTCTATTAAATCGCTTTGTAAATTAGTGATTCGATAAAGTCATTTAAAGTGTATGTGTTTAATTTGGACGTTGAAAACGATGTTCATCAATAATTTCGCCCCACCTATTGTTGGTGAAGCAATTTCTCTCCCAGCCAACGTGGCAGATTTTCTTTGAGCGGAGCGTCTTTTTTTTTT